TCAGATTTGGTAGCAATAAGGCATCGTTCGTGTGTGTTTGAAGACTGCATAAAAAAGGACACTACTTTTTCCAAACAATCTAACCTAACTCGACTCAAATCAACCTTTTTCTTAAAAAACTATTATTTCCCAACATCTTTCTGATTTGGTAGCAGGGCATCGTTCGTGTATGTTTGAAGACTGTTCCTATATCCTGCGCGGTACCTCGTAATGAATATTCCATTTTTCCATACCTGAATTCAGCTATACTTAACCCGATACAATTTGGCAACCACGCATTTCCTCACCACAGGAATATGATTTTTGTTTTCGTTACCATGACGATCTTCGCCATGGCAACAGTTTTCCCATAACTGATTTCAGCTAAACGAAACTTGAGCCCAGATATGGGTCGGAAATTATTCAATTCTCAATTCAAGTCTGCTGTTTTAAAAATGATTGTTACTGTAGATAATTTCCACTGATGGTTTCAGGTTGTCTGCTGTCTTGATAGAATTAATTAGCCCACGGTTATCCATGGTTTCAATCTACGACTTAGAGTGTTTCTACATGGAATTTTTTCTGTGCATTCAGAAATGTATCTTTGCAATTCTTCAATGAATTAATCATGGCATAGTTGTGGTTGATTCAATTGAAATATATTTTGCAAGTCCTCATTCTCTAATGAAGAGTTCAGTTTCTTTCATTTATTTCGTTTTGACAGATTTCTATTGAAAGAAATAGTCACGTAAGCTAGTATAGAAAAATGCTTTGTAATGTCTGAATCATCATCAGGTCTATCAAAATCTTATCATTCATTCTGCTTACAAAAATATAATCGATAGCTGTTTCTGATTACCGTGTTACTCTTGTTGGTTTATTTATATATGATAATATAAAGCCATTGCCGTTCAATGTGTTGGGGTATTGGCTCGGGTATTGGTTAACATCGTGTGAAGTGTTATCTGATAAATTAATGCTTATTTTATCACCCATGGCTAATTCCATATTTTTTTGTTAATATTTGAGAAATATTATTCTAGGTTACTTGCATATGTCTGGAAGTTTATTGAAGGAAGTCTATAGAAAGCTGTGATGCCAATCATATAATTTTGAGTATTTCTTGTTTCAATAGTCATTCATAGTAGGTTTGTTTCAGTCAAATGGAGAATCTGAACATTTGGTGTGATATTGTGTTTTATAAATATAATAATTCACACACTGGAATTTTTGAGAGAATGCGAAATATCTAACTCCCTGTATATGGATTGAATTGGTACGACAAGTTATCCATGCTTATTAAGTATAGTGAATTGCTCTACCAATTTCAGAGCAGTAGGTACTTTCCAAGGATTCCGAAATTTTGAAGAAAATATGGAAATAAAATTGTTCTTTGAAATGGCTCCATTTAGAGTCTATTTCCGATTCTATAGAGCTAACTATCAACTATCATCGATTTTCCATGTAGAATCAATTTGTCATACATTCAAAAACAAATGCACCCAGATTACAGGAGTATGTCAACAAATAATAATTCGCAGATGTCAGTTCGTTATAATTTTAGTAATATTATAGTGAGATGAAAATTGTGTATATCATGGAGAATGGCTGAAAGAATAACTGGACTTCAGGTTACTGAGGAGGATTAGACATCCGAAATGAGTTGATTCGAATGAAGTCATAACCTGTTTGTGAGAGATATAATTCCCATATCTCTGATACGATTATTTCATTCAAGTTCCAACCTCTGAAGATCAGAGTTCATACAAGTATACTTCTCCTATACATTTCAATTTCCATTTCAATACTGAACATATTGGTAAGTTATATTTTCATCATAATACAGTTGTATTCAATAAAAAATCGTACAAGTATTTAAGCGTACAAGTATTTAAGAGGATTTCGAGATCCTAGTTCTAGTTGTGTAAAACTGGCTCAGCCAATGCTTTGTGTTTTCGAGAACCTATAGGCCTTTTCGAAAACCTACTCGGGTTGATATTGGTTGACTCGATCGTCAACCTGCACGTTCGTTAACCTAACCCGAGTTGCCTACCCGTGTTCGTAGAGCTCAGTGTTGGCTACTCGATCATTAACTCGGGTTTGTCTACAGTAACCCTACTGGAAAGCAGGGTTCATGAGAGTCTACAAAGACACCGCATGCGCATTACCAAATGAGAAAATTTGGTTATTTGGTTTTGTTTGCCTTATTTGATCAAACCATCAACATTAAACTGTGATTTTATTTGTGTATTGTTCGAGCTGAAAAAAATAATATGAAGGAAAAGTGCAATCTTCCAAACACTAACAGCATTAACCTTCGACAATTGTTTTGATGGTGATGATGATTAGACGGAGGAGGAAATATCACATTTGATGTTGTCTTCTGGTGTAATAAATAAATACTGTCCTAAACGAAGACGTGTTTGTATTGAGAATTATGGAGATGTGATTTTACACTACTCCACTACAAGTAAAATGAACAGTTTACATAATTGTGTCACAAATTCATCATAAAAAAAATGATTTTACAGATTTCCAGTGTCATTTTCGCTTAGAGGGAAGCACTATATTCGAGACATTCTTGAGAATCCACATATTTCGCATCTACCTAGGATTTCCTCGTTCTGCATTTCTTTGGTTTTCAAATTCGAAGTGGTGTTCTCAGTACTGTGTTTTTATTTCAAAAGATTTAGGTCCTTGCAACTCAGGTCCATAACCCGTAACCTAATACGTTCGTGAACTATACTATCTGGGTAGGTGATCCGAGTCAGATTGCAGTAATCCGTCACGTGACCTCTCTGGATGGAGTTAGCGACCCAGAGTAAGTTTCCGAAAACGCCTTATGACAACTTTACTATCAACATTTGGTGAACAATCAGTCCCGATAACCCGTTTTATGCAGAATAGGATGACGTTAATTTCTCTCTGTAATATAATTGTATGCTTTTTTTCTGAATGCGACTGTACATCTCATTGTTTTGTCCGATTTGAGAGAGAAGGTCAATTCTCAAATTCAGAGGATTTTCATTTTTCTTGCTCTCTTTTTGGATGTTCAACAGATATAATTCAATGTTCAACGTGGCATGTAGCCAGGAAAGTAGTTGTTTTCTGTTGAATGAACCAAGGAAGAACTTATATTCTTATTATATAGAGAATGCGAATTTTCAATGTATTTCTTCATATACAAGGTGTTTTCGAAATTAGTGCACATATTCATTTATTTATTTATTGAAGTCATATAGGATAACAACAGGCATAACCCAAAGTGTTATCCACGGATACAATTTAGCGTACAGAAAAAAAATTATACAGATTACAATTTTCGCTTAACCTAACACTACTTCAAGAAACATTTGATGTTAGCTATGAAATTAAGTATTTCTCTCTTATTTTCGATTTGGATACAAGTAGTGAATGATTGATTAACTCAATATCATCGAACTTATCATTGTAAAGTGTCACCATTCTGTGTAGGGGAAGTTTTTTCCTAAGTTTGTTCTGCAAAACGTTTCAGAGAAGAGACGAGTATTCCTCAGAGAACGAGTTGGAACATTGAGATATATATTTGATAAAATTTCAGGGGAGTCGATTAAGTCATTCATAATTTCGAATAAAAATATTATGTCGGATTGCTCTCGACGAGCCTCTAGTGTGACCATATGAAATTTGTTTCTCAGGAAGGCTGTACTAGTTGTAATGTTATGTTCTTCACTATTTCAATATTCGAGATATCTTAAAAATTTATTCTGTATGATTTCCAATCTTCAGCACATTAATATTAATTTTTTTATTTCTTTTTTATTTCAATTTACAAACTCAACAGGTTGCCCCAGTTACAGAGTAGGAAGTATAGTAAGTATAGTAAAATAGACTTATATGTAGTCACTTAAAAAACATATCACAGTTCATCATATATTCTAGATCTAAATCTATTCAAACTTAACGAGAAAATATCACAAGAATGAGATATACCATTGTATGTTTTACACATTGTATTTAAAGGACCAGCAGAGTGGATATTCATTCGATGAGCATCTATATAAAATGTGTTTGTTACACGTGTAGAATAAATAAAATATGATACAGTCTGAGGAATATTCCCATGATATCAGATTCTTTCTAATTGTTTTAATTAATTGAACAAAATACGAGAAAATAAAATCAGGTACGCCACTTTGAAACAATTTAAATGATTGAACTCCGCGTGATTGTGCCTACCGCATTGACATTTGAACAGAGGTGACGTCAAATTTGCTACAGTGTATAAATTTGGGTGGAAAAAGGGGTTTTACCTCAAATTTCATTCTGTTACCAATTTTTTTTTTTTCATTAGTGCCATTCGATAGTACACGTCGAGCTTTCTAGTGTTTGAAATATTTGCACTTATTATTTCAATGCCACCCTGTATTACCTATCGATTTTTTATGTTCATGAATCAAGGTGTTTAAACTTAAACGATGGAAACTTCTTATTTTCATAGACATTTGATCGCAGATTCGTGATTAGGTTTTCTCAATTGAGAATTTCTTTGCACGTCCTGTATGATGAATATCAATTTGTCATTCATCCAAGAACGGAAGGAAAACACCCCTAAATAATCCGATATCATCTAGGAATACCCTGTATATTCAGATCAAATTCATTCGTTGTGTCTTTCTCTTCATTTCTTGTGAAATAATGAGAGTGGTAGATGTGCCTGAGTCACGTTACTGGCTTCGTTTAGAATCTATTTCCGATTCTATAAAGCAAACAATAAACTATGATTGATTCTCAATGAATAACCTCACCCTTAAATAATCAGATATCATCCAGGAACACCCTGTATATTCGCATCAAATTCATCCATTCTGTCGTCTTTCTCTTTGTTTCTTGTGCAATAAAAGTGGTGATTATAAGAATTGTAGATGTGTGAGTTACGCTACTGGCTCCATTTAGAATATAATTTATTTTGCACCTTGAACCTTCATCATTGCGAAACTTTATATAATAGGTAATCAAACACACCGAGACAGGTTCTGAATAGTCATATCTAAACATCCAATATAATCGGACAAGACCTGCAAAAAAAATGTCTACCTTACCGCGAGAAATCAGTGATGTTCTGGAAACCTCGCTAGGCCAAAAAATCACCGATTACCACATAAGCCTAGGCGAGGGTAACAGCAAAGGTATGGGATTCGTGAGCGAGCTCCTTTTTGTCAACCTCATCCACAAATCAACGGGAGAGCAGCATCACCTGGTTATCAAGCAGGCTTTGCCCACAGGCGGCACCAATTCCATGCGCATGATGCGAACCGCTTTCGCCAACGAGATTCGTTTCTACCAGACTTGCTGGCCGATCTTGAGCGCGTTCCAGGCAAGCCATCCGCTAGTTAAACCGTTCCGAGGCATCCCCAGGTGCTACGGTGTAGCTAGGGAAATAGAAAAGGAGAAGCTGGTGCTGGAGAACCTCAAGGCACGAGGTTTCACGATATACGAGAGAACCGAGCCTTTCGACCTGACTCACATGGAGGCAGTGTTCAAGGCCTTCGCGGAATTTCACGCGATTTCTTTCGCCTATCGTCATGAAAACTCTGAGGCTGAGTTCGAGAAGATGACGAAGCATCTGGTTAATGGCTGGATGAATATCACGAAGGCTGTGTTCTTTCCGGAGATGATCAAGGAGTGTTTTACAGGATTTTTGGATGGAGTGGGGCCGGAATTGAGAGGGAAGATTAAAGAGAAGCTCGAGAGGTATTTCGATGGACTGGTGGAAGTGTTCGATGAGTGCGCAGAATATACAGGGTGTTGTCCTGTGCTTCTCCATGGAGATTGTTGGAGCAGTAATTTTATGTTCAAATATAGCGTGAGTAACGAATGAGTTGTGTCCTGTATTTTCCAAGTACTTTATTATTGTCACAATCACACCTAAAAGGTAGTGGAGACTCTCAGGGTGGATAGTACCTATTTGAAATCATATTATAGCGTTTCCAGAAAAACATTCCAATTGGAGTCAGACTGTTTCGTTTTCTCGGATATTTTTTTATATCGTGTCCCAAATTCGATCCTCAACATTGAGACCTCGGTAACTATAAGATAAAAAGGAGGTTGAATTACGAAAGTTTCAGCAGATACAATTGTGATTGAGAATCCGTCGAGATATCTTAACTAGCTTCAGTCATTCCTGAGTTATTGAAGAAAAACTGAAGTTTTTTATTTTTGTATTTCTCGAATATCTAGAAAACTATTAATTGTATGGAAAGACGACTTCAACATTAGGATGGAACATTTTAGTGATCTTTTTAATGGTTTTGGCGATTTTTGAATGAAATAATAAAATAAGCTGAAGGTCACATCTCAGAGTTCGGGCAAGTCCTCAAGGACGAAAAAGACATTTTACGCAAGAGTTAGGTACAAAGTTTTTGCTACGAGTGTTTTTGTTTATATTATTCATGAAGAAAAAAAGGTTTTTCATGAACAATGTTTTATAATGATACTACAAAATCACACATAAGACTGAATAGTTACATTGATCATTCAGTTAGTCCTAAATATCCTCATTCTCAAAAAGTAACTGTTCAGCACCAGTGCGGTAAAGTAACCTTTCCACACGATAATTTCATGCACTGAAAAATAATGAAATATATTTTTTTTGTCTCACTACAGAAATGCCTTGATCTGTTTGTTGCTGAGAATTAATAGTGTAGTGAATGGAAAAACGTAAATCGGTCTGAAATGCTTATTTGTTGACTGCCACTACTGTCAGTTCATATAGCAACTATTGCTATGGGTACGTTCTGGTGCCAACATTTATCACCACATGTCTCCTGGTATTTCCTTCGAAATCTTGCGGAAAAGTGAAAATAATGCGGAAAAGTAAAACTAATGAGGAAAAGTAAAATTGTATGGAAAGGTATAACTTTCAAAACGAGAAACCATGCAGGAACATCACTTTTCCGCACGCTCGTAGAAAAATTGAAACTCTCATGTAATTATAAGTAATTATAAGTGATAAAATAGCACGAATCAAAAGCAATCTGACATTTCTAACAGGAATCTCAGGAAATCTCTGAGATGAAGATAATCGACTTTCAAACGGCGAGAAGAGGCAGCCCTGTACAAGATTTATCCTACTGTTTCTATAGCTGCGCTTCCAAAGATGTGCTGCGCAGCCTCGAACACCTCTTGCGCATATACCACGATACTTTGTCGACAGCGCTGGAAGCATACGGCTGCGCAGTGGACGAAATATACCCCATGCGCACCCTGAAAGATGAATGGACACAGTATTCCAAATTTGGAATGATGTTGGGCATTATGGTTTGGAGGAGTAAGTTGACAGACGCCAAAGATGTAGCCGATCTGAACAGGTTAGTGGGCAAGGATTAACATGACCATGTACCTCTACCTTTACAAATTTCAAACCCGAATAGGTAAGAACACTAATCCCAGATAGCACAAATACCTTTTGAGGCCCTTCTGAGGCATTCACAATGATGTCCTCAGGACGTCGAGGGCGAGCCTGACTACGTCCCAAGCTCATCCTCCTGTTACCGTTCTCTACATCCTAATAACGTCTTAGAACATCCCTATAAGGTCTTCTGGGACATGTATAGGGCATTATGGGAACATCTTTAGGTAGTATTGAAAAATGTCTAGGGATAGGTTAATAAAAATGGAATTTTATTGAAAACATATTCATATCATGATATTTGCGAAATTTCCCTGGAATTATGCATGAAGATGTCGGGTAGTAAGCGCGTGAGTGAGAGCTCCCTAATAAACAACGATTTTGTGTTTATGTGTTGTAATAAAAAGCCGAAAAGTGGATACTATATATGTGTTAAGTGTCATGGAGTGTTCCACATTAGCTGTTACGATAGAATTGCTCCAAAAACATTCAAAAATAACAACAAACTCGTCTGTAAGGAGTGTAAAAATTCCGACATCGCCAAGGATAATAGTGTGGATGAGTTTTACTCGAAACTTATTGAAGAGCTACGAATCGAAGGTAAACAAAAAGAAGAGACAATTGTAAAAATCAATAAAAAATACGAACTCTTCTATGATGAAGCAATAACAATGGAAAATGAATTCATGAGTCAAATCCAGACTTATAAAAAAGTTATACGTGAATTGCAAGAAAATCTGTTGATTTTAAAACGAGAAGTAGCGAACAAAAAAAGTGAAGTCGTTATCAGCACCCAAACCCAAACAGATAAAGAAGACATCGAACAAAAAATGTTCATCGCACAAGTGCCTAACGATTCTGACGATTTTAATCAAATGACCGAATATGATGATAATACAATGTTGCCAAGTCGAACCAATTATCTTGAAAATCCTTCGAATGAAAAAATACATTATGAGCCGAAAAGTGATAGAATGAAGAAGAAACAAAAATCAAAAAAGCAGATGGCCAGTAGAAGAAAGATACAGAAAGAAGAAATACAGATGATCTTGAGGAGTAGCATAAAGAGGCAACAGAACCAACAAACTGACACAGAAGTGGAAATCAACAGTGTTGTCACAGAGGAACGGGAAGCTGTGTCAACTGTGAATTCATCTGGTAACTTTGATGAAGATTCTCTCCAGCGTTCAAATGATCCCTGCTCTGAAAATACACTCACAGAAAAATCGAACGAAATCTCTCTATTTGAAGAGCTAGATAAAGCACGAAGTGTTTTCGAAGATGCAAGTTGTGATAGAAACACACCAGAATACATGAATACACCAAATTGTTTGCTAGCAACTGAATTAATGAATGGATCAAAGGTAACGAATCCATCCCTTCCAACAAGAAAAATCCACATATGTGGAGACCAATATGCCTCAGGTTTTTCTAAGGTTTTGACTAGGATTGATATCAATCATAGATGTAGCGTATTTGAAAAAATTGAAAATGAGACGGAGATCTCTGATCTTACGAAAAATGTATTTGCGGATACTCTAACTTTTGAAAGAAATGATCTGATAGTCGTTATGTTCAACACAAAAAATGTTAGTAATAGGTTTACTCTCTCTCAACTTCTAAGAAACATACTTGGTCTTAGCAATTTCACCAACCTGATCATCATAACAGAGTGCCACTCCTTTGCCGATAAGAATATCAATAGAATTATTTATAATCAAATCAAATATTTTAAACATAAGAATAAAAGTTGTTCCTTGACTTTCTTAGCTGGCCGAGAAGAGAGGGGTAGTAAGTTTGAAGTGGTCGAAAAATTAAAAAGAACTCTTTCACATATCTCAAATCGAAGACATAACTTCACCCTGAGAACAGTGAACCGAATTGATATTACACCTAATGAATCTATGCAGTTTTTTCGAGGCGAATTCTCATTCAATGATTACTTCACCCAAATCCCTTGCAATTGAGCTCTTCAGTCATAAACAAAATAGTTCCTTGATTTTGTTGAATATACAATCAGTTCGTAACAAAATTGACGAACTTTCGATGTTTTTAGAAGCTGAGGGATCTCCAACATTTTTACTATTGACGGAACATTGGTTGTTTCAAGATGAGCCATGTTTCATTCCGGATTATCTCGTTGTTTCGAAGTTCTCTTGTAAGGAAATATTGCATGGAGGAACAATGATTCTTATACATGAAAAAATGGCAGATGAATATTCATTCGATGATGTGCACAAGTTTGATAATATGTTGGTAGAGGGTGAATTCGAATTTTCAATAGTTTATAATAAAAAAAATAATCTGTTTATACTATGCATTTATAGAGCACCTTCAAGTTCAACAAGTAAAACATACACATTCCTAGAAAGACTGGAAATTCTTTTGTCAAGTATACCAGTTAAATCAAGAATTATACTCGCTGGTGATTTCAATATAGACTTTTCCAGTCACTGCAGATTCACTGATATCCTGCAAAATATATTCATCAGCTTCAATCTGAAAATGCATGTGGATGAACCCACTCGTATCACAAACAGCTCGTCTACAACAATTGATTATATTTGTTCAAATTTTATCGAAGACAAAGCAATTTCAATCCCTGCAGGCTTATCTGATCACGAAGCAATTCATTTGAAATTTTCACTACATAGAAGAAAGACAAACATCAAATTCAGAGAGGGGAGAATTTTCAGTAAAAATAACTATGATAAATTCAAAGTTTTATGTGAACAAACCAACTGGAATGATATAACTATGGCTTCTGATCCTGTCACTCTCTTTCAAGAAATTTTGGTGAATAAATTCGATGATTGTTTTCCATTGAAAAATTTGAAAATAAGCACAAAAAGCCTTGGCTTACAAAAGGTCTCAGAATTTCTGCTAAAAATCTCAGATCCCTCCGCGCTATCAAGAAGTTTACGACAAATATAACTTTCTTGCGATATTTTAATAAATATAGGAGTATCTACAGACATTTGATCAAATTGTGTAAGAACAATTATTACTCGAACAGAATTGAAGAGTCGAAAAATAGTCCTAGAGAAAAATGGAAAATAATAAATGAACTACGGGAAAAAGGAAGTTCATCATCAGCAGTAGAGTGTAACATTGATCCAAATACCTTCAATGATTTCTACTGCTCGATTGCCAAAAATCTGACAGCCAATTTAGTTTCTCAAATTGATCCCTTGAGCTATCTTGAAGAAAACCACTGTGGCGCTGATTTCAAATTATCATCAACAAATGTTCATGAAATCAAACAAACTCTGAAGGAAATGAAAAATGATAAGTCCGCTGGATTAGATGGTTTGACGAGGAGACTGCTAGAAAACCTACCCTTCGAAGCTTATTCTGTACTAGCAGATATAATAAACAAATCTTTTGTGAGCGGTGTATTTCCCTCTGGTTTAAAGACAGCAGTTGTCTTGCCTCTTCACAAGGGAGGTGATATCTCCTGTCCCTCGAGCTTCAGACCAATTTCATTACTGTCTACTTTATCAAAACTCATAGAAAAATTAGTAAAGAAAAGGTTATTACAGTTTTTATTGAATGAGAAACTTTTAAATGAATACCAATTTGGGTTCCAGAGTTCAAAAAGCACTAATGATGCTATTTTTACTTTTTTGGAAAATGTTTACATGAATTTGAATGAGGGGGAAGCAATATCAGCAATATTTTGTGATTTTTCAAAAGCTTTTGATTGTGTTAATCATCGAGTATTGCTGCAAAAAATGCACTGTTATGGTATAAATGGAACTTGTCTTGAGTGGTTCAGGTCGTACCTCGAGAATAGATCGCAAATGGTGAAAGTTAATGAGACATATTCTAACCTGTCGTCAATACAGTCCGGGGTACCTCAGGGATCGGTTTTAGGACCCATTTTATTCCTACTGTATGTGAACGACCTCGCTACAATCGATATCCAAGGATCATTTACAATGTTTGCAGACGACACAACAATATTATGGCATGGTAAAAATACTGAGGACTTGAAACAAGTCATATCTCGAGATCTAGTGAAAGTTAAGCAATGGTGTGATTCAAACTCCCTCTGTTTCAATGTAGATAAGACGAAACTCGTGAACTTCAAATTTAGCTACGACAATTTGCAACTGGATGGAAATAAGGTTGAAGAAACGGATTGTACTAGATTCCTTGGATTACACATTGACAATAAGTTGAAGTTCAAAGAACATATCACATCCTTGTGTAAAAAGTTGGCTTCAGGGTCATTTGCTGTAAGAATCGTCGCCAATGAGCTTGATTTATCTACCGCTAAATTGACTTACTTCGCCTTAGTAGAATCCCATCTACGGTATGGCATTGCGTTTTGGGGATTCTGCAGTCAACAACTCCTGAACCAAGTTTTTGTACTACAGAAAAGATCGATCAGATATTTATGTAGGGCCAGCTTCAGGGATAGCTGTAGGAGTCTTTTCAGTCAATATCGAATCCTAACAGTCATCAGCATCTTTATTCTCGAGGTAGTATGCCTGATTCATAAAAGAAGTGTTGCTGATTTACATGGAGATAGGCCTCATAGTCACAACACAAGACAAACCTCTAATATTTACCTACCAATACCAAAGCTGACTTTGACAAAACATTCCAATATTTACGAAGGAAAACTGATTTTCAATCACTTACCAGAGGAGCTGAAGCATATGAGGAATGTCGAAAAGTTCAGAAAATCGGTAAAGGATTTACTGCTCGAAAAAGCTTATTACAGCCTACAAGAGTACTATGATGACAAATTGCTGGTACTATCAGTATGATGTTATTGTTTTCATGTTATCATGTTTTATATATATATATATATGTTATGTCTGTCTTTCTTTTACTTTTGATGTTTTATTATTATTCAATCTTATTTTCATACTTATACTTGTTTTTTTTTTTATTATTATTATTTACGAGATAGTGCATATTATTCATATGTTACTCATGGTGTTAGTG